CAATTTTCGTAGCACTTTGCTCATGAGCTGTTGAAAACAAAGTGGAGAATTTGTCAAACCTTGGGGCAATCGTTTAAATTGATAAAGGCCTTGATGGGTGACGAAAGCAGTTTTATGCTTTGAATCTTCATGTAATGGCACTTGGAAGAAGCCATTAGCAAGGTCTAAAGTTGAGAAGATCTTAGCTTGTGCATTGGCGATGTTATCAACAACATCATCAAAAACAGGAAGAGGCCATGACATTGGTAAAGTGACAGAATTCAACTTTCTGTAGTCACAAACAAATCTATATGAGCCATCACGTTTCTTGACTAGGATAATGGGAGCTGAATACATAGAAGTAGATTCCTCGATCAAATCATACTTCAGAAAATCATCTATAAGTTCTTCAGTGACTTTTTGGAGATGAGGAGATTGACGATATGGTCTACTCTTAACGGGTGGGTGGCTGCCAGTGTCAATGATATGCTGGTGCAGGTCAGTCTTACCTAAATCTGCAAGACTTGTTGAAAACATGTTTCTATTTTGTCCCAAAAATCTAAGTAGTCTGTGTCGTTGGGTTGGAGTCAGTTGTGTATTGGTCAAATCAAATCCTAACTCTTGTGCAATTTTGACATAATCCCTGGTATCATTGTCTCTCTTCTCATTGTCGGTGTTAATAGTACTGATGAATGGTTGGTCAGAGCCGATTTCATAAACAGAGTCTTTGTCAATGTAACTAAATTTGCCTACAACTGTACCCTTGTCAAGAACCTTTTCTTCTTGGGAGGGATTCATAAGCCTAAATGTAGCAGTCTTGCTTTTTGATTTAGAAAGAGTTCTACCGCCTGCTACTTCAGAATGAGCAGTGAGGGAAGCAATGGGTTCAATGAGGATGAGGGAATCCTCTTTGGTCTCTGATAGTCTGACCTTGAAATGAATTTCACTCTGAGGGGGGATGTAAATCTGATCTATTGTTTTTGCTAATCCACTAATCTCATGCACTGAATTGGCTATGAAATTGATATATTGCCTATCTGGGGTGCTGTTGTTAAGTATCAAGGAATGACAGCTATAATCTAAGACTGCATCATTGTCATCAAGGAAGTTCTCACCTAGTATCACTGCCTTCGGCAGTGTAGGCAGTACATAGAATCTTTGAGAAAATTCCTGATCCTCAATGACAAAATCTAACACAACTGAACCTAACACCTTATGCAATTCGCCGCCAACACCTTTTACCTGTGGAAAGGGTGAGTTTCCAAGAGTAAGGTTTTCAAAAGCTGTGCACAGAAAAGCAGACGAAATACAACAAATGGATGCCCCTGTGTCTACTAAACAATTTGTTGTTGTTGTGCCAAATTTTGCCTGAATTACACTTTTGGCAAGGGGCGTAACTAAAGACACTGTTGGAATTTTACTTTCAAAGTTACTTTCCATACCAGACTCCATATTTGCCATGACACCTATTAGTATGTACCGTACTAAATTAAAGGATGACAAGAAATCAACAATGTATTACTTACAATATTTGAAGACTTTTTCTTCCTTTGTTGGTGTCTTTGGAGGAGTTGGTTGTCTTTAATCCAGTGTTGAGGTCAGAGGTTGATGCAGCTTGCTTGTTATTCCATCAGATGATCACAGTTGGACATGTCCTCCAATGGGTTCTTGTAGCTGGTCGTAGTTAGTTCCTGGACTCTGTGGTTCCGAAAACGATGATTCTCCGCCAAATTATCATGGAACTGTTCTGGGTGAACAATACCTTCCAAATGACGTGCTGGTTTTCTTGGGGAATTAGTCAGCAAAGAGCCAGAGTCACAGGAGACTAATCACAATTTTATTTACAAGAACAATTAACAATTTACAATATACTTAGATAATAACTGAGGGTGCCACAGAGAGTCGGTACACACTCTGGGCTGTGGGAGAGAGGTCTGCTTGGTAAGAGAGTCAAACCCCTTCTCTGCTTAAAACCTGCCTACAGTATGTATTTAACAAAAATTTAAACAATAACAAGGAATGTGATTGGTTGATACACGATGGGTTGTGTCCTAAGCTAAATGGATGGCTAGACAGAGGGGAATACTAAATCCTGTTTATCCTGTTGGACTGGCACTAATCTTGTTGACATATTTACTGGATGCTTTGAAAGAGATTAGGGTGTCACTATAGATGAGCTTGTGTGGGGGCTAATCCTTAATGCCCTATAGATGAGCTGGTATGGGGGCTAATCCTTAATGCACTATAGACGAGTTTGTATGGGGGCTAATCCTTAATGAGTCTTAATTGAAGTAATGTTATTCTAATATACCCCGGTAGGTGATGACAGATATACTTAAATAAATATCCTTTGTCTGGGAGATAGGATCTTGATACCTTAGGCTAGCATTTATCTAAAAGCTTCAAATCAATTAAACTATGTAGACGTAACTCTTGTCTTATTGAATAGTATGTCTAGAAGACGCGCTCCAATTACCTTAGGCTAGCAACCATCTAAAAAGCTTTAACTGAAACTACTGATATTTTATATATGCATTTTACCTAATGATAATTATTACTTGCTAAATCTACAATTATATGAAATGATGTATAAATATTACATCATGATAACTCATAAAAGCACTTGATGTAGATCTAATTATTATAATAATAATTTAGTATAAATGTTATCCCATGATACAGCTTTGAACAGTATTTTAGCTATATCACAGCATGTCAACTTAATGTGGGAGGACAACCTGAAGGGATGCAGGTCTCAGACATTTACAACTTCAGTGAAACCCACTCAGGTATGGTGCGGACAGATCTAGAAATAACAATGATGAACCAACGATCATAGGTTCCTGGTGTGTCCAAGGGACAGAACTCCTTAGATGACTAGGCCACCCATGCCTTCACCAATCAAATACTAGCAAAGAGTGAGTGAGTTGTGTTTAACACTTTTAACAGTATTCCAGTTGTATCACAGCCTGTCAGCTTAATGTGGGAGGAAATCCCGAAGTGATGCAGGTCGCAGACGTTTACCACTTTGGTGAAACCCACAAGCACGGGTATGGTGCTGACAAACCTAGAAACATAATCGAGGCCAACCGGGATTTCGAACCCACAATCATAGATTTCCGGCATGCCCAAGGGACGCAACTCTGCACAGCGAATAACGGCGCCTTAGACGACTGGGCCACCCGTGCCCCCCTACTAGCAAAGAAGAATGTAGTATATATCGTAATAAACTGAACAAATACAATGTCCGTACACTCCTCTTTATTCACAGAAACTGGTATAAAACAAACTCCAGAAATCAAACAATTGCAAATAACGACATCATCACATATGATAAACATATTCTGTAACAGCTGTAAAATATCACAAGTGCTTCATGTCAAATGCCACATGAAAATATATAGAACACTAAGGAAGCCACCATGCTGTCCACATGAAATGTGTTTTTTCAGGCATATGTAGATTTGAATAATACTGTTGTTTATCATCCAAAACTGGCTCCCACAGGAGATATCGCAAGGGTGAGATCAAGCGATATCTATACTGTATATATCGCTGCAATGAAATTGCATCACAATGCTTTGCAGACCATTATGATGTCATTGGTTACCATGACGTCACAATCAAATGACATCAGTAATGGCTCTGCTACTGAAGCTGTTAGCAGTACTTTTTACACTTAAGACACTGCTTATTAGTGTATAAAAACTGAAAAGGTTGGAAGAATGACGCTGGATGATAAAAAAATCTCACCCTCGTGTCTTTTGATATTAAATTTATCAACACTCGTTCATAAAGTGGAAAAAAATCCTCGGCAAGCCTCGGAGTTTTCCCACTTTTATCAACTCGTGTTGATATATTTGATATCAAAAGACACGAGGGTGAGATTCTCTATATACTACACAAAAGAAGCTAAGAATTTTTTTTTTTTCATACCACGATAGTTCATCTGTAATGGCTGGTGCACGTGCAATGGGTATTGCAACACATCCTTTCAATTGTGGGTGGTCTTTAACTCATTTAGAGTGGTATAATATAAAAGCTTCAACAATATACACTACATCGATTAAATAATAGTTCATACACACATTTGTTGAATGAATTATTTTGGCAATATATTTGACAAATAGTGTAAAACAGAAGCTAAGTAAAACAAGAAAAAAAACATGTTTGGCTGAGGAAACAAATGTCTTTTTTTATGAATTTTATGTCAGTTGAAAACTGTCATAAATGAATTGACACATTAACTACTCCCTGATATACAAAGGCTACATTTACTTATTGTCCCATTCTAATCAATTCATTCTCAGTTTCTGAATGAGTCACTCATTGAGGACTAAATTGTCACTCTTCCTTTTAAAAGTTGCACTTGACTGAATATAGGGATGACAGGCTGAAGACTCCTGGTGCCGAGACACGTGTGCTGTAACAACTGATGGCATATAGACAAATGTCACAGAAGGATCTCTGTTACAAATTGGCCACAACAGCACTCGACATTTTCCCAACACTTCAATCATTCGCTGTCATTGACAGTCAATACAGTGAGTGAGTGAGTTGGGTTTAACGCCGCTTTTAACAGTATTCCAGTTATATCACGGCGTGTCAGCTTAATGTGGGAGGAAAGCTCAAAGTGATGCAGGTCACAGACGTTTACCACTTCGGTGAAACCCACGAGCACGGGTATGGTGCTGACAAACCTAGAAACATAATCGGGGCGAACCGGGATTCGAACCCACAAATAGGTTTCTGGCATGCCCAAGGGGTGCAACTCTGCACAGCGAATCGCGGCGCCTTAGACGACTGGGCCACCCATGCCCCCCACAGTTAATACAGATAAGGTGAGGTTAAATGGGGTTTAAATGCATGTGGCTGCTTGTACTAGTCCGGACTGATGCTGATTTATAGTGCTAGCTCACTGAGCTCATGCCAAATTTTAACATGAATACCCCACTCAGAAACAGTATACTGACTCCGAGCCGACCAGTCCTTGTTTTAGCCCCTTAATGCTGAGTGCCAGACAAGGTAACAACAAGTACCATCTTTTAACGTCTTTTGGTATGACGTGGCCAGAGATTGAACCACAGACCTTCCACTCTCTGGACGGACGCTCTACCACTAGACGACGGAGGCGGTCCAACAACTGGATCACTACCGAATCTTGTGAATGCTAACAGGGGTTATTACAGGATGGGAAGTAAACTTTCACTTCATACTAGTGTGAGTGAGTGAGTGTGGATTTACATCGCTCTTCGCAATATTCCAGCAACATCACTGCAGGGGGCACCAGAAATTAGCTTCAGACATTGTACCCATGTCAGGAATCAAACACGGGTCTTCGGTGTGACGAGTGACCACCTTTACCACAAGGCTACCAAACCACATTTATTTTCATAGGAGTAGATACATACACCTATCAGCACTGCTGAAAAGTATGAGTAGGAGAGTTTAGTCGAAAACTGCTTTCAACAGATCAGTTGTACTATTCATTTGTTTGTTTGTTGTTTAATGCCGCACTAAGCAATATTCCAGCTATATGACGACGGTCAGTACATAATCGAGTATGGACCAGACAATCCAGTGATTGCCACCATGAGCTTCGTTCAACGCTATTGTGATAAAATGACATGCATCAACCAAGTCAGCGAGCCTGGCAACCCTATCACCTAACCAAGCATAGTTGTCGCTTACGACCCTCATCACCAAATCCTGCCGTCGGCGTATGCCGGATGAGCGAGGCGGTAGGCGTGACGTTTCCACGACTCCTCTGTGTTCTGCAGGATGAGGGCCCGGTGAGCTGCATCCTCCGCACGGCGGGCCTGGAGGCGGGTCTCTTGGTCCTGTCTGGAGGAAGAGATGTACAGTCAGCAATACAACACAATTACAATACTTCACGGGTATGTGGACACTAGAGTCAGCAATACAACACCATCAATACATCACGGGTATGCAGAGACTAGAGTCAGCAATACAACACAATTACAATACTTCACGGGTATGTGGACACTAGAGTCATCAATACAACATCATCAATACATCACCAACAATACATCATGGGTATGCAGACACTAGAGTCAGCAATACAACATCATCAATACATCACGGGTATGAGGACACTAGAGTCATCAATACAACATCATCAATACATCACCAACAATACATCATGGGTATGCAGACACTAGAGTCAGCAATACAACATCATCAATACATCACGGGTATGAGGACACTAGAGTCATCAATACAACATCATCAATACATCACCAACAATACATCATGGGTATGCAGACACTAGAGTCAGCAATACAACATCATCAATACATCACGGGTATGAGGACACTAGAGTCATCAATACAACATCATCAATACATCACCAACAATACATCATGGGTATGCAGACACTAGAGTCAGCAATACAACATCATCAATACACCACGGGTATGAGGACACTAGAGTCATCAATACAACACTATCAAAACAACACCATCAATACATCACGGGTATGCAGACACTAGAGTCAGCAATACAACATCATCAATACATCACGGGTATGAGGACACTAGAGTCATCAATACAACACTATCAATACAACACCATCAATACATCACTGGTATGACGACACAAGTCTCATCATTACAACACTATCAAAAGGACACCATCAATACAACACCATCAATACATCACAGGTATGTGGACACTAGAGTCATCAATACAACACTATCAATACAACACCAACAATACATCACGGGTATGCAGACACTAGAGTCAGCAATACAACATCATCAATACATCACGGGTATGAGGACACTAGAGTCATCAATACAACACCATCAATACATCACAGGTATGTGGACACTAGAGTCATCAATACAACACTATCAATACAACACCAACAATACATCACGGGTATGCAGACACTAGAGTCAGCAATACAACATCATCAATACATCACGGGTATGAGGACACTAGAGTCATCAATACAACACCATCAATACATCACAGGTATGTGGACACTAGAGTCATCAATACAACACTATCAATACAACACCATCCATACATCACGGGTATGATGACACAAGTCTCATCATTACAACACTATCAATACAACACTATCAAAACAACACCATTAATACATCACGGGTATGTGGACACAAGAGTCATCAATACAACACTATCAATACAACACAGGTATGTGGACTAAAATGTACTTGGAAGCATCTGTCCTTTGGGGAGAGGTTGGTGACTAAAATGTACTTTGGAAGTATCTGCCTTTGGGGAGAGGTTGGTGACTAAAATGTACTTTGGAAGTATCTGCCCTTGGGGGGAGGTTGGTGACTAAAATGTACTTTGGAAGTATCTGCCTTTGGGGAGAGGTTGGTGACTAAAATGTACTTTGGAAGTATCTGCCTTTGGGGGGAGGTTGGTGACTAAAATGTACTTTGGAAGTATCTGTCCTTGGGGAGAGGTTGGTGACTAAAATGTACTTTGGAAGTATCTGCTCTTAGGGAGAGGTTGGTGACTAAAATGTACTTTGCAAGTATCTGCCTTTGGTGAGAGGTTGGTGACTAAAATGTACTTTGGAAGTATTTGTCCTTGGGGAGAGGTTGGTGACTAAAATGTACTTTGGAAGTATCTGCTCTTGGGGAGAGGTTGGTGACTAAAATGTACTTTGGAAGTATCTGCTCTTGGGGAGAGGTTGGTGACTAAAATGTACTTGGAAGTATCTGCCTTTGGGGAGAGGTTGGTGACTAAAATGTACTTTGCAAGTATCTGCCCTCGGAGAGAGGTTGATGACTAAAATGTAGTTTGGAAGTATCTGCCCTTGAGGAGAGGTTGGTGACTAAAATGTACTTTGGGGGTATCTGCTCTTGGGGAGAGGTTGGTGACTAAAATGTACTTTGGAAGTATCTGCCCTTAAGGAGAGGTTGGTGACTAAAATGTACTTTGCAAGTATCTGCTCTTTGGGAGAGGTTGGTGACTAAAATGTACTTTTGAAGTATCTGCTCTTAGGGAGAGCTTGGTGACTAAAATGTACTTTGGAAGTATCTGCCCTTGCTGAGAGGTTGGTGACTAAAATGTACTTTGGAAGTATCTGCCTTTGGGGAGAGGTTGGTGACTAAAATGTACCTTGGAAGTATCTGCCTTTGGGGAGAGGTTGGTGACTAAAATGTACTTTGGAAGTATCTGCCTTTGGGAAGAGGTTGGTGACTAAAATGTACTTTGGAAGTATCTGCCTTTGGGAAGAGGTTGGTGACTAAAATGTACTTTGGAAGTATCTGCTCTAGGGAAGAGGTTGTGACTAAAATGTACTTTGGAAGTATCTGTCCTTGGGGAGAGGTTGGTGACTAAAATGTACTTTGGAAGTATCTGCTCTTGGGGAGAGGTTGGTGACTAAAATGTACTTTGGAAGTATATGCCCTTGGGGAGAGGTTGGTGACTAAAATGTACTTTGGAAGTATCTGTCCTTGGAGAGAGGTTGGTGACTAAAATGTACTTTGGAAGTATCTGCTCTAGGGAAGAGGTTGGTGACTAAAATGTACTTTGGAAGTATATGCCCTTGGGGAGAGGTTGGTGACTAAAATGTACTTTGGAAGTATCTGCTCTTGGGGAGAGGTTGGTGACTAAAATGTACTTTGGAAGTATATGCCCTTGGGGAGAGGTTGGTGACTAAAATGTACTTTGGAAGTATCTGCTCTTGGGGAGAGGTTGGTGACTAAAATGTACTTTTGAAGTATCTGCTCTTAGGGAGAGCTTCGTGACTAAAATGTACTTTGCAAGTATCTGCCTTTGGTGAGAGGTTGGTGACTAAAATGTACTTTGGAAGTATATGCCCTTGGGGAGAGGTTGGTGACTAAAATGTACTTTGGAAGTATCTGCTCTAGGGAAGAGGTTGTGACTAAAATGTACTTTGGAAGCATCTGCCCTTGGGGAGAGGTTGGTGACTAAAATGTACTTTGGAAGTATATGCCCTTGGGGAGAGGTTGGTGACTAAAATGTACTTTGGAAGTATCGGACCTTGGGGAGAGGTTGTGACTAAAATGTACTTTGGAAGTATCTGCCTTTGGGGAGAGGTTGGTGACTAAAATGTACTTAGGAAGTATCTGCTCTAGGGAAGAGGTTGGTGACTAAAATGTACTTAGGAAGTATCTGCTCTAGGGAAGAGGTTGGTGACTAAAATGTACTTAGGAAGTATCTGCTCTAGGGAAGAGGTTGTGACTAAAATGTACTTAGGAAGTATCTGCTCTAGGGAAGAGGTTGGTGACTAAAATGTACTTTGCAAGTATCTGCCTTTGGGGAGAGGTTGGTGACTAAAATGTACTTTGGAAGTATCGGACCTTGGGGAGAGGTTGTGACTAAAATGTACTTTGGAAGTATCTGCCTTTGGGGAGAGGTTGGTGACTAAAATGTACTTAGGAAGTATCTGCTCTAGGGAAGAGGTTGGTGACTAAAATGTACTTAGGAAGTATCTGCTCTAGGGAAGAGGTTGGTGACTAAAATGTACTTAGGAAGTATCTGCTCTAGGGAAGAGGTTGTGACTAAAATGTACTTAGGAAGTATCTGCTCTAGGGAAGAGGTTGGTGACTAAAATGTACTTTGCAAGTATCTGCCTTTGGGGAGAGGTTGGTGACTAAAATGTACTTTGGAAGTATCTGCCCTTGCTGAGAGGTTGGTGACTAAAATGTACTTTGGAAGTATCTGCCTTTGGGGAGAGGTTGGTGACTAAAATGTACTTTGGAAGTATTTGTCCTTGGGGAGAGGTTGGTGACTAAAATGTACTTTGGAAGTATCTGCCTTTGGGGAGAGGTTGGTGACTAAAATGTACTTTGGAAGTATCTGCCTTTGGGGAGAGGTTGGTGACTAAAATGTACTTTGGAAGTATCTGCCTTTGGGGAGAGGTTGGTGACTAAAATGTACTTTGGAAGTATCTGCCCTTGGGGGGAGGTTGGTGACTAAAATGTACTTTGGAAGTATCTGCCTTTGGGGAGAGGTTGGTGACTAAAATGTACTTAGGAAGTATCTGCTCTTGGGGAGAGGTTGGTGACTAAAATGTACTTTGGAAGTATCTGCCCTTGGGGGGAGGTTGGTGACTAAAATGTACTTTGGAAGTATCTGCCTTTGGGGAGAGGTTGGTGACTAAAATGTACTTTGGAAGTATCTGCCCTTGGGGAGAGCTTGGTGACTAAAATGTACTTTGGAAGTATATGCCCTTGGTGAGAGGTTGGTGACTAAAATGTACTTTGGAAGTATATGCCTTTGGGGAGAGGTTGGTGACTAAAATGTACTTTGGAAGTATATGCCCTTGGGGAGAGGTTGGTGACTAAAATGTACTTTGGAAGTATATGCCTTTGGGGAGAGGTTGGTGACTAAAATGTACTTTGGAAGTATCGGACCTTGGGGAGAGGTTGGTGACTAAAATGTACTTTGGAAGTATCTGCTCTAGGGAAGAGGTTGTGACTAAAATGTACTTTGGAAGTATCTGCCCTTGGAGAGAGGTTGGTGACTAAAATGTACTTTGCAAGTATCTGCTCTTTGGGAGAGGTTGGTGACTAAAATGTACTTTTGAAGTATCTGCTCTTAGGGAGAGCTTGGTGACTAAAATGTACTTTGGAAGTATCTGCCCTTGCTGAGAGGTTGGTGACTAAAATGTACTTTGGAAGTATCTGCCTTTGGGGAGAGGTTGGTGACTAAAATGTACCTTGGAAGTATCTGCCTTTGGGGAGAGGTTGGTGACTAAAATGTACTTTGGAAGTATCTGCCTTTGGGAAGAGGTTGGTGACTAAAATGTACTTTGGAAGTATCTGCCTTTGGGAAGAGGTTGGTGACTAAAATGTACTTTGGAAGTATCTGCTCTAGGGAAGAGGTTGTGACTAAAATGTACTTTGGAAGTATCTGTCCTTGGGGAGAGGTTGGTGACTAAAATGTACTTTGGAAGTATCTGCTCTTGGGGAGAGGTTGGTGACTAAAATGTACTTTGGAAGTATATGCCCTTGGGGAGAGGTTGGTGACTAAAATGTACTTTGGAAGTATCTGTCCTTGGAGAGAGGTTGGTGACTAAAATGTACTTTGGAAGTATCTGCTCTAGGGAAGAGGTTGGTGACTAAAATGTACTTTGGAAGTATATGCCCTTGGGGAGAGGTTGGTGACTAAAATGTACTTTGGAAGTATCTGCTCTTGGGGAGAGGTTGGTGACTAAAATGTACTTTGGAAGTATATGCCCTTGGGGAGAGGTTGGTGACTAAAATGTACTTTGGAAGTATCTGCTCTTGGGGAGAGGTTGGTGACTAAAATGTACTTTTGAAGTATCTGCTCTTAGGGAGAGCTTCGTGACTAAAATGTACTTTGCAAGTATCTGCCTTTGGTGAGAGGTTGGTGACTAAAATGTACTTTGGAAGTATATGCCCTTGGGGAGAGGTTGGTGACTAAAATGTACTTTGGAAGTATCTGCTCTAGGGAAGAGGTTGTGACTAAAATGTACTTTGGAAGCATCTGCCCTTGGGGAGAGGTTGGTGACTAAAATGTACTTTGGAAGTATATGCCCTTGGGGAGAGGTTGGTGACTAAAATGTACTTTGGAAGTATCGGACCTTGGGGAGAGGTTGTGACTAAAATGTACTTTGGAAGTATCTGCCTTTGGGGAGAGGTTGGTGACTAAAATGTACTTAGGAAGTATCTGCTCTAGGGAAGAGGTTGGTGACTAAAATGTACTTAGGAAGTATCTGCTCTAGGGAAGAGGTTGGTGACTAAAATGTACTTAGGAAGTATCTGCTCTAGGGAAGAGGTTGTGACTAAAATGTACTTAGGAAGTATCTGCTCTAGGGAAGAGGTTGGTGACTAAAATGTACTTTGCAAGTATCTGCCTTTGGGGAGAGGTTGGTGACTAAAATGTACTTTGGAAGTATCGGACCTTGGGGAGAGGTTGTGACTAAAATGTACTTTGGAAGTATCTGCCTTTGGGGAGAGGTTGGTGACTAAAATGTACTTAGGAAGTATCTGCTCTAGGGAAGAGGTTGGTGACTAAAATGTACTTAGGAAGTATCTGCTCTAGGGAAGAGGTTGGTGACTAAAATGTACTTAGGAAGTATCTGCTCTAGGGAAGAGGTTGTGACTAAAATGTACTTAGGAAGTATCTGCTCTAGGGAAGAGGTTGGTGACTAAAATGTACTTTGCAAGTATCTGCCTTTGGGGAGAGGTTGGTGACTAAAATGTACTTTGGAAGTATCTGCCCTTGCTGAGAGGTTGGTGACTAAAATGTACTTTGGAAGTATCTGCCTTTGGGGAGAGGTTGGTGACTAAAATGTACTTTGGAAGTATTTGTCCTTGGGGAGAGGTTGGTGACTAAAATGTACTTTGGAAGTATCTGCCTTTGGGGAGAGGTTGGTGACTAAAATGTACTTTGGAAGTATCTGCCTTTGGGGAGAGGTTGGTGACTAAAATGTACTTTGGAAGTATCTGCCTTTGGGGAGAGGTTGGTGACTAAAATGTACTTTGGAAGTATCTGCCCTTGGGGGGAGGTTGGTGACTAAAATGTACTTTGGAAGTATCTGCCTTTGGGGAGAGGTTGGTGACTAAAATGTACTTAGGAAGTATCTGCTCTTGGGGAGAGGTTGGTGACTAAAATGTACTTTGGAAGTATCTGCCCTTGGGGGGAGGTTGGTGACTAAAATGTACTTTGGAAGTATCTGCCTTTGGGGAGAGGTTGGTGACTAAAATGTACTTTGGAAGTATCTGCCCTTGGGGAGAGCTTGGTGACTAAAATGTACTTTGGAAGTATATGCCCTTGGTGAGAGGTTGGTGACTAAAATGTACTTTGGAAGTATATGCCTTTGGGGAGAGGTTGGTGACTAAAATGTACTTTGGAAGTATATGCCCTTGGGGAGAGGTTGGTGACTAAAATGTACTTTGGAAGTATATGCCTTTGGGGAGAGGTTGGTGACTAAAATGTACTTTGGAAGTATCGGACCTTGGGGAGAGGTTGGTGACTAAAATGTACTTTGGAAGTATCTGCTCTAGGGAAGAGGTTGTGACTAAAATGTACTTTGGAAGTATCTGCCCTTGGAGAGAGGTTGGTGACTAAAATGTACTTTGGAAGTATATGCCCTTGGGGAGAGGTTGGTGACTAAAATGTACTTTGGAAGTATCGGACCTTGGGGAGAGGTTGTGACTAAAATGTACTTTGGAAGTATCTGCCTTTGGGGAGAGGTTGGTGACTAAAATGTACTTAGGAAGTATCTGCTCTAGGGAAGAGGTTGGTGACTAAAATGTACTTAGGAAGTATCTGCTCTAGGGAAGAGGTTGTGACTAAAATGTACTTAGGAAGTATCTGCTCTAGGGAAGAGGTTGTGACTAAAATGTACTTAGGAAGTATCTGCTCTAGGGAAGAGGTTGGTGACTAAAATGTACTTTGCAAGTATCTGCCTTTGGGGAGAGGTTGGTGACTAAAATGTACTTTGGAAGTATCGGACCTTGGGGAGAGGTTGTGACTAAAATGTACTTAGGAAGTATCTGCTCTAGGGAAGAGGTTGGTGACTAAAATGTACTTTGCAAGTATCTGCCTTTGGGGAGAGGTTGGTGACTAAAATGTACTTTGGAAGTATCTGCCTTTGGGGAGAGGTTGGTGACTAAAATGTACTTTGGAAGTATCTGCCTTTGGGGAGAGGTTGGTGACTAAAATGTACTTTGCAAGTATCTGCCTTTGGGGAGAGGTTGGTGACTAAAATGTACTTTGGAAGTATCTGCCCTTGGGGAGAGGTTGGTGACTAAAATGTACTTTGGAAGTATCTGCCCTTGGGGAGAGGTTGGTGACTAAAATGTACTTTGCAAGTATCTGCCTTTGGGGAGAGGTTGGTGACTAAAATGTACTTTGCAAGTATCTGCCCTTGGGGAGTGCTTGGTGACTAAAATGTACTTTGCAAGTATCTGCCTTTGGGGAGAGGTTGGTGACTAAAATGTACTTTTGAAGTATCTGCCCTTGGGGAGAGGTTGGTGACTAAAATGTACTTTGCAAGTATCTGCCTTTGGGGAGAGGTTGGTGACTAAAATGTACTTTGCAAGTATCTGCCTTTGGGGAGAGGTTGGTGACTAAAATGTACTTTGGAAGTATCTGTTCTTGGGGAGAGGTTGGTGACTAAAATGTACTTTGCAAGATATGCATGAAACTGCAAAATACCAAAATATTAGAAACATATTGTGATACATGTTCCTTTGTTCTTCTACATATCATGGTTCACCGTCATACCAATCATACCACGCCCCCCTATTCATGAGTCGTGCTCTGGGAACAAACCCTACCCACACTTCAACTAAGCCCAACAAGCCAGAATTTGGCCAATATTGGCACTAGACCATGGAACCTCCCTGTAGATAGAGGGCAGCAATGGCGCCATAGTTTGACCCTCGTGTTGTTCAACTTCTGTACCCACCTTGCTTTTGCTTCCAGTGCCAAGTTCATCTCATCATCAATCTTGACGCATATCCGAGAGATGGAAAATGGCTGACCAAATATTTTCGCCTGCAAAGCAATTAATATGAGTGAGTGAGTGAGTGAGTGAGTGAGTGAGTGAGTGAGTGAGTGAGTGAGTGAGTATGTATGGTTTTACGCCGCTTTTAGCAATATTCAAGCAATATCATGATGGAGGCACCAGGCTTCACACATTGTACCCATGTCTGGAATCAAACCCAGGTCTTCGGTGTGATGAGCGAATGCTTTAAGCACTGGCTACCTGACCGCCCCGCAATTGATATGAAAAGAGGTAGACAGTGAGACAAGATGGATCAGTGCTGGATGGGTCAATGGTGTACAATCAGTTCTTTTTACCAAATAATACTACTAATCATTGTAATCATATTGTAATATGTAAGTAATTAATCCTCATTCAAGTAGTAACTGTTTGTTTGTTTGTTTTTGTTTAATGCAGGGGGCATGGGTGGCCCAGTCGTCTAAGGCACCGCGATTCGCTGTGCAGAGTTGCGTCCCTTGGGCACGCCAGAAACCTATGTGGTATGCTTGTCATAAGAGGCAACTAACGGGATTGGGTGGTCAGGCCCGCCGACATGTTTAATGCATGTTGGCATATCTCAGTTGTATAGATCGATGCTCATGATATCAATCACTGGATTGTCAGGTCCAGGCATGATTATTTACAGACCGCCGTCATATAGCTGAATTATTGATGAGTGCAGCATTTAACAACAACAAAACAAATCAACAAACCAACCACATCTTAAATAATAGAAATAATGAGAAAAAAATTGAAGGAACAAAAAAAATATGAAAGTTATGATTTTTGGAAATACATTTGAGAATAAAACTGAAACTAAAAAAAAACAAATTAGTGAATCAACCAGAAATTTTGATTTGTAAAAAAAGCACGCTGTCAAAGTGTCATCATCAGGCTTTAGTACAGGTCTGATAATCAATGTTTTAAACTTACCTCTCCCTGATGGTAGAAGTCAATGGCTTTGTCGACGGAGACTCCATCAGAGAACAACACCCACGCTACTCCAGTGTTGGATTTTGTCACTGGATCCTACATCGGCAAAAACAACAAATTTAACCTCTAGCCTGAAGCCCGAGTCTTGTAAAAGTCTGTGTTGTCAAGTAAGCTGAGTTAATAATAGTCAATAAAATGACACTAAAATCTATTGACAAGGATGCAGAGAGGCATGATCGGCTGACAACATCACATAACTTAGTAGTATTTACCTAGGATTCCCAACTAGATGACTTTTGCAGCCAAATCAGGGAAAATTTGCCTTTTTTTTAAAATTGGGATTTTTTTCAGGTACAGGTATATTTTGTTCAATTCAGTGTGGTGTGGTGTGGTGTGGTGTGGTGTGGTGCAGTGTGGTGCGGTGTGGTGTGTGATGTGGTGTGTGGTGCGGTGTGGTGCGGTGCGGTGCGGTGCGGTGCGGTGCGGTGCGGTGCGGTGTGGTGTGGTGTGGTGTGGTGTGGTGTGGTGTGGTGCGGTGTGGTGTGTGATGTGGTGTGTGGTACTGTGTGCGGTGCGGTGCGGTGTTGTGTGGTGTGTGGTGTGTGGTGTGTGGTGTGTGTTGTGGTACTCTGTGTGGTGTGGTGCGGTGCGGTGTAACAATAAGTACCATTGTTTAACATCTTTTGGTATGACACATCCAGGAATTGAACCACCTGCAATTCATGCAGAATCAGACCACGAAGGTGGTCATTTGCTTGACTGATCAATGCATGAGTGCTAGAGTGGTTGGGTCGGACACTACATCGCACATTGCATTACATCCCTTAGAAAACCCAAAATTGTGGGTTCGAATCCTGGTTTGCCCTGGTGATACTCTGGCTTTGTCAGCTCCGAGCTACTGGGTTTCATCAAACTGGTAAACCTCTAAGACCAGTGTTCGATAAGCGCTTGGCCATAGGCCCGTGACAGGTAGATCTTGTGTCGGGCCACAGTTTCAAATTTGTGAGGATCCTCTTGGCCTGTAGTAAATTCTCGTGTTGATTTATTTGTCACAATAAGATGCAATATTTTTAATGAAGGCCTTAAGGGTTTAATTATAGCCTGCAGCTTCTGTTTGTTTGTTTGTTTGTTTGTTTGTTTGTTTGTTTGTTTGTTTGTTTGTTTGTTGTTTAAGGCTGCACTCAGCAATATTCCAGCTATATGATGCTGGTTTGTAAATAATGAAGTCTGGACCAGACAATCCAGTGACTGACCTCATGAGCATCGATCCACGCAAATGGGATACGATGACATGATCTCATCAACAAAGTCAGGGAGCCTGACCACCTGACCCCGATACAACAAGCAGAGTCACCTCTTACGAAGAGCGTGGGGACGGGTGGCCCAGTCGTCTAAGGCACCGCGATTCGCTGTGCAGAGTTGCGTCCCTTGGGCACGCCAGAAACCTATGATTGTGGGTTCGAATCCTGGTTCGCCCCAATTATGTTTCTAGGTTTGTCAGCATCATACCCGTGCTCGTGGGTTCATCGGGGTGGTAAACGTCTGAGACCTGCATCACTTGGGTCTTTCCTCCGACATTAAGCTGACACGCCGTGATATAACTGGAATACTGTTAAAAGCGGCGTTAAACCCAACTCACTCACTCACTCTTACGAAGAGCATAGCTTCTAAAGTCTGTGGGTCCTGATTTGTTATTTTTGCCAATTTGTTATTTTTCAAACACCATCTAAACCTGCATTAGTCCAGGCTTTCCTCCACATCAAGCTGACACGCCATGATAAAACTGGAATACTATCCAAAGCAGAGAACATACTTGCTGTAAAAGGTGACTATGCTTGTTGTAAAGAGGCCACAAACGGGATCAGGCTCGCTGACTTGGTTGATGCATGTCATCGTATCCCCATTGAGAGGATCGATGCTCATGACATCGATCAGTGGATTGTCTGGTCCAGACCTGATTATTTACAGACCGCTGTCATATAGCTGGAATATTGTTGAGTGCGGAGTTACACAACAAACAAACAAACAAACCACAGCGGTGTAAAACCCGACTCCCCGTCCCCCGTCACCTTGATGAGCACAACCTCCTCCACGCTGCAGTCAGCCTCCATCTCCAGCATCCCCTCCAACTTCTGCACTGACACATTGCCAGGGAGACCACATAGGTACCCCGCCCGCTCTCGGTGATCAGGCAGCTGAGGGGTGAGAAAACACAATTATACAACAGTTACCAGTGGCAGATCCAGAGACCACAATTACACAACAGTTATCAGTGGCAGATCCAGAGACCACAATGACACAACAGTTATCAGTGGCAGATCCAGAGACCACAATTATACAACAGTTACCAGTGGCAGATCCAGAGACCACAATGACACAACAGTTATCAGTGGCAGATCCAGAGACCACAATGACACAACAGTTATCAGTGGCAGATCCAGAGACCACAATTACACAACAGTTACCAGTGGCAGATCCAGAGACCACAATGACACAACAGTTATCAGTGGCAGATCCAGAGACCACAATGACACAACAGTTATCAGTGGCCGATCCAGAGACCACAATGACACAACAGTTATCAGTGGCAGATCCAGAGACCACAATGACACAACAGTTATCAGTGGCCGATCCAGAGACCACAATGACACAACAGTTATCAGTGGCAGATCCAGAGACCACAATGACACAACAGTTATCAGTGGCAGATCCAGAGACCACAATGACACAACAGTTATCCGTGGCAGATCCAGAGACCACAATGACACAACAGTTATCAGTGGCCGATCCAGAGACCACAATGACACAACAGTTATCAGTGGCCGATCCAGAGACCACAATGACACAACAGTTATCAGTGGCAGATCCAGAGACCACAATGACACAACAGTTATCAGTGGCCGATCCAGAGACCACAATGACACAACAGTTATCAGTGGCGGATCCACAGACCACAATGACACAACAGTTATCAGTGGCAGATCCAGAGACCACAATGACACAACAGTTATCCGTGGCAGATCCAGAGACCACAATGACACAACAGTTATCAGTGGCCAATCCAGAGACCACAATGACACAACAGCTATCAGTGGCGGATCAACATGGGGGCTTCTTGGCTATTCCAAGAACTCTCAAACCAAAACAATGTTTTCTCCTTATCAGTTCTCCACAACAACAACAATAATTGGCCATTCCTATAACGCTTTTTCCATGCTGAATATCGAATCTGAACCAGACAATCCAGTGATTGACATCATGAGCATCAACCCACGCAATTGGGGTATGATGACATGCATCAACCAAGTCAGCGAGTCTGATCTATCTGTCACCTTTTATGACAAGCATAGTCACCTTTTAAGGCAAGCATGGGTTGCTGAAGACCTATTCTACCCCGGATCTTCACGGGTCTGAGTAAGTGTATTGAGAATATAGGAAATGAGTATTGAGTGATACACAACACGCTGATATGTGTACACAAGGAAAGATAAATGTACGAAGGTGCAATGGGATAAACGGGAGAGAAGCCAATAAATTACAGTGAAAGTAGAGTAATGGGGTGGGATCCTAGTTACTCCTTTGTTATATTGTTATGTAAAATAAGCCTCTCATTAAAACTCAATATCTTTACCTAATTACCTAATCAATATTCCCCTGATGAAGGGACAAGAAGTAGCCATGAAACCTTGCTACGAACAATAAAGAAGTTGTTGTCCACAAAAGCGTCATGTCTTCAAAACTTTACAATGTTGATATATCTGCATGCAAAGGTCAGAAGTAGCCATGAAACCACACAAACAATAAAGAAGTTGTTGTCCACAAAAGCGTCATGTCTTCAAAACTTTACAATGTTGATATATCAGCATGCAAAGGTCAGAAGTAGCCATGAAACCACACAAACAATAAAGAAGTTGTTGTCCACAAAAGCGTCATGTCTTCAAAACTTTACAATGTTGATATATCAGCATGCAAAGGTCAGAAGTAGCCATGAAACCACACAAACAATAAAGAAGTTGTTGTCCACAAAAGCGTCATGTCTTCAAAACTTTACAATGTTGATATATCAGCATGCAAAGGTCAGAAGTAGCCATGAAACCTTGTTACAAACAATAAAGAAGTTGTTGTCCACAAAAGCGTCATGTCTTCAAATCTTTACAATGTTGATATATCACCATGCAAAGGTCAGAAGTAGCCATGAAACCACACAAACAATAAAGAAGTTGTTGTCCGCAAAACCGTCATGTCTATAAAACTTTACAATGCACACCTGAATCATGCATGCATGCACACAATATGCATACAGTCAACGTCTCCAGCATGGCCGATGATGTATCACCTGTCTGTGATAGTCTCACCTGTAGCCATGATGGCACTTCTCTGTCTTTGTTGGCGCCGGTGATGAGGCTCCACTCCTCTGCAGACATGACACACTCAGCGGAACCTGCACATGGACACGGTCAAGTTTACCAGCAGTACATGGTCAGTTTGTATACAATACGTTCCTCCATCACTTGGGAACACATGGGACCACTGTAACACCTATACGTCAGACAATGAAATGCGGCAGTGTACAACTCACGAAAGGCAAATGAGCTCGACTCTGTGAATAAACTTTATGTGTACTCTACTGTTGCGGGACATGAGTGAGTGAGTGAGTGAGTTGAGTTTAACGCCGCTTTTAACAGTATATCGCGGTGTGTCAGCTTAATGTGGGAGGAAAGCCCAAAGTGATGCAGGTCTCAGACGTTTACCACTTCGGTGAAACCCACAAGCACGGGTATGGTGCTGACAAACCTATAAACATAATTGGGGCGAACGGGGATTCGAACCCACAATCATAGGTTTCTGGCGTGCCCAAGGGACACAACTCTGCACAGCGAATCATGGCGCCTTAGACGACTGGGCCACCCGTGTCCCCTGCCAGACATTGAATCAATGGGTAGTGAAGATGGCCACAAAGCTGTGGAACATAGGAAATATTGCTGTTTGTGAAATGTTATCTGAGTGCTCATTGGTCAGAGCACTGATGGTATCCCTTTCACTGGAGCCAGGCCTTGTTTTGATTGGTTGGCTAAAAATACAACATTCACTCACAAGAGATGGAGGAGGTGAGATGAGGTGAAATTGGGATTAACGTGGCGTCCACGAGTGTTGCACTTATATAGCGACGTGCATGTACGTGTGTGGGGGTGGGGGGGGGGGTGGGGTGGGGTGGGGGGGGTGCTTGTACTAGTCACTTTATCAAACATACTTGAGCATGACAATATCATGTATACAGTTTTAAAACACCAGTTACCAAAGCTAGGCCACCTCGCTGGGGATCATGGGGACTTACAGTACCTCTGCTTCCTGCAGGATACCCTCGCAGGATTTACGTCATCACTTTAGCTACTGGTGGTTGTGCACAATACTAGCCAATATAAAATACTCAGCAATGAGTTGGCTTAAAACGCTGGTTGATGATAGTTACATTTATTACGATAGGATTACGTGTCACACAGGGGGACAATAATAACACCCTGGACAGAGCCTTCAATAATGTAAGTTGATAACAGCATCGTACCAAACTTAAAAACAAGCATTTAATTATTCACAATCATATTTAAAATCCAATGAAGAAGAGGCTTTGATACTTAATGTTACGTTATTCCACTGAATGTGACGATAATACAAAATGATGAACAAGCTGAATTTAAGAAAATATTACCTATATGAATCTCAATTTTGATTAATTTTTTTCCCAATTTGCATGCCAAGGGAATTTATTTAGGAATCCAAGAGAAGTCCCTGTTTTCTTACCCAGACCTTTGAGTGCTGCACTGATCTCTAGAACTCCTGACATTGTGAGGCCAGTCAGCAGATCCTGTGTAGTGTCTGTTACAATAGCACTTGAGTGCAATAGCTTCCCCAGTGACCCTGCAAGGAGCATACAAAAAAAGAGTGAGTGAGTTGGGGTTGACGTTGCTTTGAACAGTATTCCAGTTATGTCATGGTGTGTCAGCTTTATGTTCTAGAAAGATCGAAATAAGGCAGGTCTCAGACATTTAGCACTTTGGTGAAACCCACGATCACGGAAACCTAGAAACCTAGAAACATAATCAAATCTACAATCACAGGATTCTGGCATACCCAAGGGACACAACTCTGCACTGAGAAACATGACACCTTAGAGAGACTGGGCCACTTAGAGACTTGCATTCCAGTTATCATTCTCAACTCCCTGGGGAGTATACAACCCAAGCTGCCTGTGGGTGCTAGAGGGTTTTCACATCCACCTCACATATCGGCTACCCATTCCCTGCTGGGTGAACAGAGGCACATTTGAACTAAGTCACCTGCCCAGGGTGACACCACACGTTTTGACACTTGTGTTTCGGGTGTATGTACGTGCTGGTGTCTCCACCATCTGCCCATCCACCATCGGAGAAGAGGGTTCTTTTGAATGCACAGGGTGTATGTTCTGTACACAAGGGGGTAGTGACAACACTGTAAAGACCTGTAAACATTGTTGGTCTCAAGGCTGAAGAACAACCTGGTCACTTGCGGGATACAATCTCATCACCTGGGGCTTGCAAGCCGCCTTTTACGGCAAGCATGGGTTGCTGAAGACCTATTCTACCCCGGATCTTCACGGGTCACAGTCACAGATAGACATGAACTATATAGCTACCTACCTGGCTGTCCTCCAAGGTGTTTCAGGTTGACTATAAGGTTTTCTGGTAAGGAAGGGAGATCACTGCTGTTGGGCTGAAAATTGTCACCCACTTTACAGACCTTAAAACCTGTAACAGATCATAGTAATTACATCATATCATGCAGTGTTCAAAATTAAGGGGACCTAGGATATGTTCCACAAAGTGATGTGACGTGATGAATAATTGTAACGCCCATACTATGATATAGACATACAACAGTCATAGCACTAAGATGATTGTAAGTCCCACACTTTAACATAGAGTTACAGGAGTCAAGATGATGGTAACTCCCTCACTTTAGCATAGTCATAGTGCTGATATAAACGTAACTCCCTCACTTTAGCACAGTCATAGTGCTAGGATGATCGTAACTCCACACTTTAGCATAGTAGTCTATAGTCATAGTGCTAAGAAAGATGAATGTAACTCCTTCTCTTTAACATAGTCATAGCGCTAAGATGATTGTAGCTCCCTCACTTCAGCATAGTCATAGCGCTAAGATGATCGTAACTCCCTCTCTTTAGCACAGTCACAGCACTAAGATGATCGTAACTCCCTTACTTCAGCATAGTCATAGCGCTAAGATGATCGTAACTCCCTCTCTTTAGCACAGTCATAGTGCTAAGATGATCGTAACTCCCTCACTTCAGCATAGTAGTCTATAGTCATAGTGCTAAGATGACTCCGCTAGAGGGGGTGCACATTATACTTGGGTGTGCACAATACTCAAGAAAATATGGCATGTGCTCGCTACCCTATTGCTCGCTTTCCAATTGTAGTTTTTACCAGGATATTACCAGGAATGTCTTCCAACTCACCCAGAGTCGTGGCCAGTCTCCCATATACATCCTCCATGTCCACCTCGCTTATAGCATCGCGCTGGCCATTGAGGTAGACCGTCTTCAAACACCTCCCTCCACCCAACACGGAGATAAGGGAGATAACTCCATCTTTACCTGTAATACCAAGACATCGGTTACACTGTCAGTTCATGTCTCTGTGTCTTTAAACATCTTAAAAAATGACTTACCAGTGCTCAAAGTAGATCCCATAATAAAAAGTCCTATCAAACACTAAGGACGTTATGAGAAATTGTTTCCACTTAACCTTTGGTAGGTGATACTGTGAAAATTTACAATGAGAAATGTAAAAGCAAATGGTTTTGGTTTGGTTTGGTTTGTTGTTTTACGCCGCACTCATCAATATTCAAGCTGTATGACGGCGGTCTGTAAATAATCAAGTCTGGACCAGACGATCCAGTGATTTACATCATGAACATCGGTCCACGCAATTAGGATCGATGACATGCATCAACCAAGTCAGCGAGCATGACCACCCGATCCTGTTAGTCGCCTTTTACGACAAGCATAGTCGCCTTTAATGGCAAGCATGGGTTGCTGAAGACCTATTCTACCCCGGATCTTCACGGGTCTAAAGCAAATGAATGTTCAGATAATTAAATTTATCATCCAAAACTGATTTCCACAGGAGATATCACTTGCAGACCTTGGGATGTCATCTGTTGCCATGACAACACAATCAAATTATCCCACTGCCACTGAAGCTGGTTCGCTGCACTTTTTACATTCAAGACAGTGGTTATTACTTTTTACAAACCTTAAGGTTGAAAAAAAATATTTTAAAACAGAATCTCACTTTTATGCCTTTTGATATAAAATATATCAACACTTGTCAATAAAAGCCACCCTTCTCCCAATGTATCTATCACTGTAGTCTTGCAAGGAAGCAGTACATCTGAGTTGAAAGGGACACCTTGGCTTACAAACAATTTTGTCCTGTTTGTTGTTTAACACCGCACTCAGCAACATTCCAGCTATATGACAGTAGTGTGTTATAATAGAGTCTGACCAGACAATCCAGCGACATCACAAGAATGGATCTTAGTAATATTGGGATACGTTGACATGCATCAACCAAGTCAGTGAGCCTGACCTCCTGATCCCGTTAGTCGCCTCTTAAAACAAGCATAGTTGCCTCTATGACAAGCATGGGTTGCTGAAGGCCTTTTCTTACCCAGATCTTCACGGGGGAGACAAGCATGGGTTGCTGAAGACCTATTCTAACCCAGATCTTCACGGGGGAGACAAGCATGGGTTGCTGAAGACCTATTCTAACCCAGATCTTCATGGGGGAGGACAAGCCTGGGTTGCTGAAGACCTATTTTAACCCAGATATTCATGGGGGAGGACAAGCCTGGGTTGCTGAAGACCTATTTCAACCCAGATCTTCATGGGGGAGGACAAGCCTGGGTTGCTGAAGACCTATTTTAACCCAGATATTCATGGGGGAGGACAAGCCTGGGTTGCTGAAGACCTATTTTAACCCAGATCTTCATGGGGGAGGACAAGCCTGGGTTGCTGAAGACCTATCCTAACCTAGATATTCACGGGGAGGACAAGCATGGGTTGCTGAAGAACTGTTCTAACCCTGATATTCACGGGGAGGACAAGCATGGGTTGCTGAGAACCAATTCTAACCCAGATCTTAAAGGGGGTGATATTATGAGCAAATATCAAGCCCGTTGGTGTTCCATGACACGCCATTTGCCAAGTTGCCGAGTGTGACCACCTGATGCATTAATTCACCTCTTACAACCAGCATAGGTAGCAGGGGACCGACTAGAACCTGGAGTAGCCATGGGGAACTTACCAATAGTGTTGCCTGCCAGGTTGAGACTGTGCAGAGACGACTGATGTGTCTTTGTAAGGTACAGCTCACTGAGAGCTGCAGCACCATCACTGCCGATCTGAAACCAACAATGTGACAGGGTAGACGCCAAGTTTGGCTGTTAGTTTGTTGTTTAACGCCATACTCAGTAATATTCCAGTTATGTGATGGCCGCCTGTAATTTAGTCTGGACCAGACAATCCCGTGATTGAGATCATGTGCATCAATATTGTATTGTATTTGTATTGTTTGGTGTTTAACGCGGCACTCAGCAATATTCCAGCTATATAACGGCAGTCTGTAAAGGTGAGGTGAGGTGAGGTGAGGTGAGGTGAGGTGAGGTGGGGTGGGGTGGGGTGGGGTGAGGTGAGGTGAGGTGAGGTGAGGTGAGGTGAGGTGAGGTGAGGTGAGGTGAGGTGAGGTTTAACATAGCATCCAAGGTCATTGCACTTTGATAGTGACGGGCATGCACATGTGTGTGAGCCTGCTTGTACTAGTCCGGAGTAATGCCGATTTTATAGTGCTAGCCCACTGAGATACCATCCGTAGTGATGAATATGCCACTCAGATACAGAATACTGACTCTGAGCTGAGTAGTCCTTGTTTTAGCACCTCAATGACTAACGTCAGGCAGGGTAACAACAAGTACCATATTTTAACGTCTTTTTGTATGACGCGGCAGGGGTCCGAATCCCATACATTCCTCTCTCAAGGCGGACTCTCTACCACAAGACCATGGAGGCGGACTGTGAGAAAACACCAACATGAAGCAGGGCTTAAACATTTTCCACAAGGATGGGTACGGTGCTGCCGATCCAAGAATCATAATCACAACATTGCTGCCAATCACTTCGCTCTATATAATGAAGGGGACAGATCACTCAAACCTTGTATTCCTTCGCAGCTTTTTATTTTACTTGAGTGAAAGAAAATAGGTCTAAATTTTGACATTTCAACAATGATATTATATAATACAGTGATTATTTCCCATGTTTGTCTCCATACCAGTATACAATATTTCTAATAATGACCATTTCTGATTAAATGCAATATTTTTATACTTACCTGTATAGGCGTAGCGTCAAGTAGGGTAAAAATGATATTTTACAATACGAAAACATGCATGGCTAATAATCTTTTATCTCACCGTGTTGTTCGAGAGATCAAGAACTCCGAGAGGATGTGGTGTCTGCTTCAGAAGAGACTCCACGACAGCCCTCACTCCTGTGTCAGTGATCCGATTGGCTGACAGCTTGAGCATGTGGATTGGATGACCTTGACCGATAAGGTCACAAAGGGGTGAGAGGTCACTATCAGCCAATGAACACCCACCAAAACTCAAGGTCGTTACCTTGGAATGTTTCAGGTGACCTGAAAGAATGGCAACACTTATGGTACTGCAAATAGGCTGGACCAACATCACCATAAGTCTTTGAAATGAAAATATTCTAAAATTGCCGGTAGGCATTTTAAAATACATATATGTACAATAATAAGTTGAATTGTTTGATAGGCAACACCAACATGGACAGCACTGACTCCATACACACACACCAACACCTACCAGCAAGCTTCAGGCCATCCAACACCAACATGGACAGCACTGACTCCATACACAAACATCAACACTTACCACACAACTGAGGTACCACATCTGTACCAGCAAGCTTCAGGCCATCCAACACCAACATGGACAGCACTGACTCCATACACACACACCAACACTTACCACACAACTGAGGTACCACGTCTGTACCAGCAAGCTTCAGGCCATCCAACACCAACATGGACAGCACTGACTCCATACACAAACACCAACACTTACCACACAACTGAGGTACCACGTCTGTACCAGCAAGCTTCAGGCCATCTAACACCAACATGGACAGCACTGACTCCATACACAAACACCAACACTCACCACACAACTGAGGTACCACGTCTGTACCAGCAAGCTTCAGGCCATCCAACACCAACATGGACAGCACTGACTCCATACACACACACCAACACTTACCACACAACTGAGGCACCACGTCTGTACCAGCAAGCTTCAGGCCATCCAACACCAACATGGACAGCACTGACTCCATACACACACACCAACACTTACCACACAACTGAGGCACCACGTCTGTACCAGCAAACTTCAGGCCATCCAACACCAACATGGACAGCACTGACTCCATACACACACACCAACACTCACCACACAACTGAGGCACCACATCTCTACCAGCAAATTTCAGGCCATCCAACACCAACATGGACAGCACTGACTCCATACACACACACCAACACTTACCACACAACTGAGGTACCACATCTGTACCAGCAAGCTTCAGGCCATCCAACACCAACATGGACAGCACTGACTCCATACACACACACCAACACTTACCACACAACTGAGGCACCACGTCTGTACCAGCAAGCTTCAGGCCATCCAACACCAACATGGACAGCACTGACTCCATACACACACACCAACACTTACCACACAACTGAGGCACCACGTCTGTACCAGCAAGCTTCGGGCCATCCAACACCAACATGGACAGCACTAACTCCATACACACACATCAACACTTACCACACAACTGAGGCACCACGTCTGTACCAGCAAGCTTGAGGCCATCCAACACCAACATGGACAGCACTGACTCCGCAGATAGACATCCCCCACATATTTCAACAATCCTTGCAGCAGAAATCTTGGCCTTCCTCAGGTTGAGGTAAGTAAGGCAAGGGAGAGAACTGATGTTCAGCTTCTGAGGCAGACTATCTGAGCTGTTCAATCCATAGGAAAACCTCTGTATAGAACTGTGACCAGATGAATCTGGAAAATATGATTTTAGGTTTGGTTTGGTTTGTTGTTTAATGCCGCTCTCAGTAATATTCCCGCTTTCTGTAAATAATCGAGTCTGGACCAGATAATCCAGTGATTGACATCATGAGCATCGATCCACGCAATTGGGATCGCACTTAACTAGGGGTGTGGCGTCACACAGACATTGTAAAACTCAGATGATGGCCTGTTTTTAAAATAAAGTCATCTTTTATAAGTGAGATGTTTTACAGTTGTTCTTGTGATTAGCAAGAAAACTACAAATGTTTCTTAAGAATGCAAAAACCTATAAAACAGGAATATATCATTTCTGTATGTAGAAAAATAATTCCTTAAACCAGGTACCGTATTCAACGTAATAAGCGCCCAGGGCGCTCTCAAAATTACAAATAGTCGGCTCTTATTAGAATATTATTTTGGTAGAAAAAACAGAGTTGAAAGATGAATTTCCTGGTTTATGCTGACAGCCTGAAATGTTTATGTACGACAGATATATTTTTCCAGAATTTAATTGCCCATAATTAAGGATGCATATTACACACGATTGCGTATATGTGTACATTGATCAATAGGATGGGGTGCTAATTGGGATTGTTCACTATCTAATATGTTAGCAATTATCGCCATAGGCACTTATTAGAGCGGGGCGCTTATTACGTCATATACGGTAGGTCTTTTCTTCAAATGTCCTACATTCAGTGAAAGCTGATAGTTCATGCATAAGACTCACCTGAAGTCATACTGATAATGTGTTCCACACAATCTGGTGAAAGTGATTGGTTGTTGGTGACATCAAGGTCCGTGATGTGGAGTTGTCTCCCTTTTGACCACTCTCTGAGTACTGAGAATAGTGAGTTGGCGACGTTGCTGGAGTGTAGACTAAGAACTTGCAGTGCTGGGGATACAGATGAAGGATCTGGCTGCTCCGGCAGATCTGAAGACATGACAGCTTTGGATGAGGCAAGGGAAAACAACCACTCGTCACAAGGCTGGAACAAGTCAGAGTAGGTACCCTGCACTGGTGTCATAAGTGGCCAAGTCAGAGGTGCCCCTCATAACTTCTGCTGTCACCAAAATGTCCCGTTTATTTTTAAGTAAATGGACCATACTCTGCATTCAACTAAGGTCTTTCAAAAACAAATTCAAAACCTGAATTTTTATCAAATAAGGTATCAAATCTGAGTTTGAAACCTCTGTAATGAAATTCTCCTGATTTGATACTGACCTTGTACGGAGACAGCTTGGTCAGTGACTCTCGCATCGTTGAGGTGGAGATTCCTCACTTTTCCCTGATTACACGCAGATGCGATGAACCTCGCCACAAGCCTGAGACTGCCAAACTATCATGATACAAATATGGTGTTAGAAATTGGCACTAGTCCTGTAGTCCTTACCAAACTGCCCAATAGTAAAGGTATCCTAAGGACTAGTGGACAAAAACTTTTAGTTTCTAACCCGGAAGTGTGGTGTTGCAAAGATAGTTAAACACTGTGTGGTTTTTGCTTAACCTTGCACTCAACAATATTCCAACTTTAGGACGATGCCTGTAAATAATTGAGTCATGTCCAGGCAATCCAGTGATTGACATTGTAAGCAATGATCCATGCTGGTGGGGTATGTTGACACGCTATGAACCAAGTCACTGAGCCTGACCACCCGATCCACAACGGGAACAATGAGGGATTCAGGGGAGGGTCACCAAAACTTATGACAGTCTCTAGGGGAGGGTCATAAAAAATAATACAGTAATCTATGGTCATAATGAACTCAAAGGGACCACTAATATTAGTTTGTTGTTATCATAGTTATAAGCATGTATACAGCAGATATACTGCAAATAGACGGGACACCCCAAAAATTCTTTATATTCATCATTTCATCATAAGCGTGTTCGTTATGAACAGTTGTTTGTTTGTTGTATAACGCCGCACTCAGCAATATTCCAGCCATATGACAGCGGTCTGTAAATAATCTAGTCTGTCTGTTTGTTTGTTGTTTAACGCCGCACTCAGCAATATTCCAGTTATATGACGGCGGTCTGTAAATAATCGAGTCTGGACCAGACAATCCAGTGATTAATATCATAAGCATCGATTCACGCTATTGGGATCAATGACATGCATCAACCAAGTCAGCAAATCTGACCACCCAATCCCGTTAGTCGCCTCTTACAACAGTTTACTGAATACATATTTGGTGAGGGTCACGAATAAATGTACAGGGACATGGGGAGGATCTTCCAAAAACACAACAACTGAGCTCCAGATAAGCTGCGTATCTGCGTAAAATACGCATCAGAAATGCATAAATACGCAGGAAAATAAAATCCAATCGTATCAAATACGCAACAAACATTACAGATAAGCTACAAAAATAAAACTTGTGCGAATCATCAAAATATGGTGAAGTAACCCTGCATATTCCATTAGCCAATCAGCAACTTATTTTGAAATTATAAACGGACATTCCGTCAACTCCATGATGACAGTTACGTCACGATCATTTGCAATCACACTTTCTTGTGGAAGTATCGTGTTATTTTTTAGTCTTATAAAGCACTCAAACCCACACAACACCATTTTGCAGGGACTGGATGAATAGTGTTTTTAAATATTTAACTTAAATACCCACATGTGTAAAAACTAGTGAGTAACAGAAATTTGAATACTCAGATAGAATTACTGCTACCCAATGATTTTAAAATGCATGGGTAAAATACCCACAACACCAAAAGCTTATCTGGAGCTCTGCAACAAGCATCAAAGGGTCATTATTTTCAGAACATTAGTGCATAAAAAATCTCTAAAGCAGTGTCCTTTATGTGTGCAAGAAACCTACGATCATGGATTAACATCCAGATTTGCCCTGATTATCTTTCTAGGTTTGTAAGCACCATACTCCTGCTCGTGAGTTTCTCCAAAGTGGTAAATTCCTAAGACAGGCTTCAATTTGGATTTTCATATAAGACTGAAAGGTACACATGCATTATACTGGACACCTATCCGCCATGTTTGTTTGATGCTACTAATAAAGCGGCACGCAACAGCATCACTACATTTGAAAAATGGGCGTGGTAGTTTGTTGTTAAACGCCGCACTCAGCAATATTCCAGCTATATGACGGTGGTCTGTAAATAATCGAGTCTGGACCAGACAATCCAGCGACTGACATCATGAGCATTCATCCTCGCAATTGGGATCGATGACATGCATCAACCAAGTCAGCGAGCCTGACCACCCAATCACATAAGTCGACTTTTACAACAAGCATAGTCACCTTTTACGGCAAGCATGGGTTGCTGAAGACCAATTTTACCCCAGAATCTTCATAGGTCACATTTGAAAAATGAGGAGATAAAGCCCAAAATGAGCAGAAAAAATAACCCTGTTTGCATTTGTATGGTTTAATATGATTTGTTTGTTTGCTTATTGTTTAACGCCGCATTCGGCAATATTCAAGCTCGATGACGGTGGTCTGATAATAATTGAGTCTAGACCAGACAATCCAGTGATCTTTAGCAGTGTCCTTTATGTGTGCAAGAAACCTAGGATCATGGATTAACGCCCCGATTTGCCCTGATTATCTTTCTAGGTTTGTAAGCACCATACTCCTGCTCGTGAGTTTCTCCAAAGTGGTAAATTCCTAAGACAGGCTTCAATTTGGATTTTCATATAAGACTGAAAGGTACACATGCATTATACTGGACACCTATCCGCCATGTTTGTTTGATGCTACTAATAAAGCGGCACGCAACAGCGTCACTACATTTGACAAATGGGCGTGGGTGGTTTGTTGTTAAACGCCGCACTCAGCAATATTCCAGCTATATGACGGCGGTCTGTAAATAATCATGTCTGTGCCAGAAAGTCAAGTGATTGATTTGATGAGCATCGATCAACGCAGTTGGGATACGATGACATGCATCAACCAACTCAGTGAGCCTGACCACCCGATCCCGCTAGTCGCCTCTTACGACAAGCATAGTCGCCTTTTACAGCAAGCATGGGTTGCTGAAGACCTATTCTACCCCGGATCTTCACGGGTCTTAATATGATTAAACCTTGAAATTGAATATCAAAACTATGCATAAATGTCGAAATCATCAACATCAAAAGAGAACTTGAAAATAGAAGTTCCATAATGGTGGGAGACAACCTCATCAGTGACATCCGTCAGAGCCACATTTCAGCGAACACTTTGTATTTTGTATTTACTTTGGTAACTAAACATTACACTTACTTTCTAAAGTATTTAACTCAAGACAATGAGTGGGGGCCAAGCCCACAAAACACCCTGTTATTTTAGCGAGGTGACAAAAATGGCATCTGATAGAAAACCATTAATGGGGAATGAGCTCGTGCACATCCCTTACCAAAATGGAGGGAGGTGTCCGGTATTCTTGCTGACTGAAACATTGTTCAAAGTTGCATAAAACCCAACTCATTCACTCACTCACTCACTCACTCACTCACTCACTCACCCACCCAAACACCCACTCACTCACTCACTCACTCACCCACCCACCCACCCAAACACCCACTCACTCACTCACTCACTCACTCACATACACCCACCCACCCACCCACCCAGCCACTCACTCACTCACTCACTCACTCACATACACCCACTCACTCACTCACTCACTCACTCACTGGGGATAGACCCAAGAAACCTACTCAGAGTTCGAACCTAAGGGAAGCAACTCTGCACAGTGACTTGTGGCACCTTACACGACAGGGCCATCTGTGCCCCGATAATGAAATGAGAACACTTGGCTTTGAGAAATCAGTGGGAACAGCTATACTACCTCGTTGCCATTGAGATTAATTTCAGTGAGACTGGTGTTGTGCGACATGGCATCACACAGAAGAGACAGGCTGGCAGGGTTCATCTCGCAGCTGCTGAGTGAGACACAGGTGAGACAACAGAATGGCTTCTGAAATGAGACAGTTGTTATGAGACATGGCATCACACAGAAGAGACAGGCTGGCAGGGTTCATCTCGCAGCTGCTGAGTGAGACACAGGTGAGACAACAGAATGGCTTCTGAAATGAGACAGTTGTTATGAGACATGGCATCACACAGAAGAGACAGGCTGGCAGGGTTCATCTCGCAGCTCCTGAGTGAGACACAGGTGAGACAACAGAATGGCTTCTGAAATGAGACAGTTGTTATGAGACATGGCATCAGACAGAAGAGACAGGCTGGCAGGGTTCATCTCGCAGCTGCTGAGTGAGTCAGACCTGTAATATTACATACTGGCAGACAGATTATATATGCCTGACCTCACAGATGTTGCCATGTGTCAAAATTCGGATTTTTAGAAGATTTCAGAAAGATGATTTGCTTTGAAGTGAAGACAGTACACGCAGCATTGAATTGGAAATAGTACGTTTTCCCAAGGTAGTTTAAAAAACACCCAACAACCCATTTCAGCTCTACTCCAGCAGTCCAGCTGTGCTTGATGATGGTAGCTGAAAGCGTGTGAGGCTGCCTGTCAGCCATACAAACATGTCTGATAACTAGAAAAACAATCTCACATTTTTTCCATTAATATTTTTACATTACCAGTGGACCAAAAGGTCCTTATCAAAACGCTTCCCTTCATCAGGTCAAATGGTGTTCAAAGTTGCTTCAAGTTGATTACATTTATATAGCAATGTGGGAGAATGCTGTGCCAAGACTGGCCCCTACCTTGATCCAGTGAGAGAATGCTGTGCCCAGACTGGCCCCTACCTTGATCCAGTCAGAGAATGCTGTGCCGAGACTGCCCCTACCTTGATCCAGTGGGAGAATGCTGTGCCAAGACTGGCCTTACCTTGATCCAGTGAAAGAATGCTGTGCCAAGACTGGCCCCTACCTTGATCCAGTGAGAGAATGCTGTGCGGAGACTGGCCCCTACCTTGATCCAGTGAGAGAATGCTGTGCCCAGACTGGCCCCTAGCTTGAACCAGTGAGAGAATGCTGTGCCGATACTGGCCCCTACCTTGATCCAGTGAGAGAATGGTGTGCCAAGACTGGCCCCTACCTTGAACCAGTGGAAGAATGCTGTGCCGAGACTGGCCCCTACCTTGATCCAGTGAGACAATGCTGTGCCGAGACTGGCCCCTACCTTGATCCAGTGTGAGAATGCTGTGCCGAGACTGCCCCTACCTTGATCCAGTGGGACAATGCTGTGCCGAGACTGGCCCCTACCTTGATCCAGTGAGAGAATGCTGTGCCAAGACTGGCCCGGTCGGACAGCCCATTGCTGCTTAGATCTATGTTGGTCAGCGTGGTGTTGTCCACCAGGACGTCCAGCAGCACCTTCATGTTGGTGGAGCCAATGCTCTTCGCCCTGGGAGCAGCAAAACTAGGTCTTAAAGGGAGACTCTGCTTGGGATAATTGGCACTCCTTGCAAAGGACAAGGTTCCACTTACACAAAGCAATCTCAGCGCTGAGATGATTGTAAGTCTATGTTAAAGTATGGGATTTAAACAATGGTCTTAGAGCTATGGTCACTTTGTGCAAGTGGGTAAGGTATAAAAGCAATTTCATTAAAATCAAATCTAAGATCTCACTCCCGCTAAAGAAAGATCTGAGGACATCCCATTACAGGTCACGTCAGAACAACTTTCGCGAAACTTTGATAGACCACTGAAATGACTAACAAGAAGTCGACATCAGCCAAACAGAAAGCAGCTTTCTCAAGATTTACGGCACTCGTTTCATCCTGGTGACTTCCATTTCAGACTACGCTTGAAAAATATGTTGACACAGTTCTCGATTAAAATTTTGAAAACTGAACAAACAAACATTCCGGAATGTCTAATATATGGTTGAGATTGTATGGCAGTGCTTCCCACATACTGTGCAACGTCTCCACCGTTCAAATGTTTATCCCACGGAAATGAGAGATAGACGGTAATTTTGACGGAATCAGTCATACGGGCCGATACTGTCATTTGGAATACCCCGTGTTAACATTTTCGAGCTTGCATGATCAGAAACACATTCCGACTGTCACTTTCATGATCTGGTAAGTGACGCTTTGAAAGGTCGTTCTTACGTGACACTCGTTGATAAAAGTGGAAAAATTCCTCGGCAAGCCTTGGAGTTTTTCCATTTTTATCAACTCTTGTTGATATATTTGATATCAAAAGACACTCGGGTGAGATTCTCTATTTCCATTTAATTCCACATTGTCCAATATTTCCATATTTCAATATTATATTTAACTTTAATATTTGACATTTCCATGGGACCGAATCCTACCTACCAACCTTTGAATTAAGTCATTCAAAACCTACTGTGCTTTGAAACAATTGTATTATGTAGGCCCACTTGGCTAATGTGCTGCAATTCTCTGTGCAGAGTTGTGTCCCTTGGGCATGCCTGCAACATTTGCTCATGGGTTCAAATCCCGGTTCGCCCTGATTATATTTTTAGGTTTCTCAGCACTATACCCGTGCCCCTGTGTTTCAGTGGTAAACGTCTGAGACCTGCATCACATCAGGCTTTTGCTCCCACATTAATCTGGCATGCTGGATATAACTTACTCACAATTAAAAAGATTGAATAAGCAAAAACATACCTCAGTGTTTGTAGAGTGGAGTTGGACTTGAGAGCTGGTCCGACACAGCGAGAAAAGTAATCCTTTCCCAGATTGTTACTGGAGACGTCCAGGTACACTAGAGACGTATTGTGAGCCACCAGTCTCCCTACACACTCCTGGAGGTGGCAGGATACAGTCAGTGATTAAAACTCTTAAAGCTAAATATTCATATTGTACAAATCAAAAAGAAAACATTCCCATTCCATAATTTTCTTATTGTGGATGAGTGAGTGAGTGAGTGAGTTGGGTTTTACGCCGCTTTTAACAGTTTTCCAGTTATATCACGGCGTGTCAGCTTAATGTGGGAGGAAAGCCCAAAGTGATGCAGGTTTACCCATGAGCACGGGTATGGTGCTGACAAAACCTAGAAACATAATCAGGGCGAACCAGGATTCGAACCCACAATCATAGGTTTCTGGCGTGCCCAAGGGACACAACTCTGCACAGCGAATCACGGTGCCTTAGACAACTGGGCCACCTGTGCCCCCTGGGTGTCCAAAAGATTTGTGGCACCATCTCGTCTACAGCAAATGTTACAATCTGTATTAGTCTCCTGCTGTGAGATTGCTGGAATATTGCTGAAAGCAGCGTTAAACAATACCATATTCGACATAATAAGAGCCCAGGGCGCTCTCAAAATTAGAAAAGGAGGGCACTTATTATAATGCAAGTTTGGTTAAAAGTACAGAACTGAAAGGTCGTAACATTTTGTGGTTTGGCAACGCAGAAAACAATCTGTATCCGAATTTTACCCCCTTAGACATCCATGTCTCTTACAAAAATACTATGTGCATGCTAAGCAAATATGGCCGTAGGCATTTATTAGAGTGGGGCGCTAATTACATCGAATACAGTACTTACTTACTATAATGTGTAACCTAGTGCCAGGGCTCGATTTAAGGATTTTAGTTAACTTTCACCAGGATTATTTAAACATGTAAGCAAGGCACCACTAATTCCAAGCATGTGCTTAGTACCTGCTGCAGATTTGTTTTTTTTGTTTAACGCCGCACTCAGCACTATTCCAGCTATATGACGGTGGTCTGTAAATAATCGAGTATGGCCCAGAAAATCAAGTGATTGATTTGATGAGCATCGATCAACGCAGTTGGGATATGCTGACATGCATCAACAAAGTCAGCGAGCCTGACTACCCGATCTTGTTAGTCGCTTCTTCTGACAAGCATAGTCGCCTTTTATGGCAAGTATGGGTTACTGAAGACCTATTCTTGCCAGGTCTTGACTGGTCTATTGCTGCAAATACTCACAGCACTGTCTGTGTCACATCTGTTGTCTGCGAGGTTGAGGCTGATGACTGAAGTGTTGGAACACATTGCCAAACAAACGCTCCGGAAACCTTGGGGGCCAAGATTATTGCCAGAGAGGTCCAATACCTGCAAAAGTGAGAGAGTGAGTGAGTGGGTGGGTGGGTGGGTGGGTGGTTGGGTGCGTGAGTGAGTGAGTGAATGAGTGAGTGAGTGAGTGAAAAAGTGAGTGAGTGAGTGAGTGAGTGAGTGAGAGAGAGAGAGAGAGCGTGAGAGAGAGAGAGAGAGAGAGAGAGAGAGAGAGAGAGGGAGAGAGAGAGAGAGAGAGAATAAAATGAGAATAAAAACATGGACTTTGGAATTGTTTAATGCCCATCACAAGCTGTGGTCTCAACTCAACTGTCTATCAAGTGTTCATTTCTTGAGTACAATATATGTCTAAGGTCTACAGCATATGTCTAACTGTCTAACATATGTCTAGTACCCTTGTCTACCGCCTGAAAATAGAACAGACTTCAGAACGATGGGTGATTTGGCAAATTAGGATCTACTGAACTCCATAACTGCATTTCCCGTTTTAATACATATTTCTGGCCATGAAAGTCTTTTGTTATAGAGGCCACACGTTTTTTACTTGCTTTACAGATCGGCCAACTGTAAATTTTGTTTAAATGGAACATGTTTGTTCTCTTTTTTTATCCCACTGATAAGCTGACAGCATATTGCACCCAAAACATATTTGTTAAACAAGGACCCACTGAAGTTTACACATATTAAACATGGGAATCCAAATAAAGTTTGTTGTTTTTCCTGAAATTGATAGGATGCATAGATGAACGACAGTATTCCCAAAGTTTGCATTGCTTAAACCAACGGCTGTGTTGAAAGCTCTTCTCCCACGTTAAACCATTTATAATTTTTCATACAAGCAGCCCTGTAGATGATCAGAAAACTAAAAAACTTATTTTTTAGTTGTTTTAGTTTCATCACCTACCAACAGGTGTTTTCCCGTAAAAAAAATCTGTAAAGCAAGTTAAAAAAAATGTGAGGCCTCACTAGTTACAGGAGTGTTTGGTCCATGCAAGTCATACCCAGTGAGATCACTGTCAACAAATTCATGATTTTCCAATCTCCTTAAAATCAGATTTTGGTTCTCGCTGAACAAAGATCTGAGGACATCCCATTACGGTCACGTCAGATCGACCTTACGCGAACTCTGACCGACCAATGGAATTACTGACAAGAAGTCGACATTAGTCAATCAGAAGGCAGCTTTCTCGTGCTTTACGGCACCAATTTCAAATTGGCGACTACGCTTCGAAACATAGTTTGACAAATTCTCGCTTCAAAATTTGAAACCTTAAAAGAACATTCTCTAATGGCTAAAATATGGTCTAGAATGTATAGATTCAGTCGTTAAGCCCGTAACTATCGTTCGGAATACCCCGTTTTAAAGTTTTCGAGGCTGCATGATTAGAAATCGACTGTCACTTTCATGATCTTGAAAGCGTTGCTCTGATTGGTCGGATGAAAGCTCCTTCTGACGTGACCCCTAATGGGATGTCCTCAGATCTTTGTTTAGTGGTAGCGAGAACTAAGATCTGATTTTAATGAGATTGATGATTTTCATACATACCTGTAAATTTTGAAGTTTCTTCACCAAGTGAAACACGGAATGTGTTGAGGGCAAAGCATTGTGCAGCTGTAACCGTGTGACATTCTTATCTACTGCATTCATAACACTGTCTGGAGTCAACAACAAACAACAACATTGCAACGTTGCATCAAACTGTCGCTGTGATTCAGGCTCCAGGGGGAGATAACTCTCATTTGCCTCACTCTCAATTTTCTTAGCTTCTAGAGTTGTCTTTCCCTGGGAAGCACCCTGAATAGGTGTCTTTCTTGGTGAACTTGACATAGCTAGATTTCCTTCAAGCTGTTGTTTTTCTTCTGCTGTTGTTTTTTTAGGAACTGCATGTTCCTTTTCTTGTGTTTTTATTTCTGATGTGGGTTCTGGCGTAGGTGTATTGGCATTGGAAGTTTTATTTTGAGCTGCAAAGGAAAATGTAACAACACAGTGATAGCCATAAATGATGTGAAGATGTACTGAGATACAGATCAGTTCATTTGTCATCCAACTGCCTCCATCGTCTAGTGATAGAGTGGAAGGTCCGAGGCTCGATACCCGGCCAAGTCAAACCAAAACATGTTAAAACATGGTACTTGTTGTTACCCTGCCTGGCTCTGGGCATCAACAGGCTTAACAAGGACTGGCCGGCTTGGATTCAGTATCCTGTGTTTCATGTTAAACTGCAGCATGCTATCTCAGTGGGTTAGCACTATAAAATCAGCATCAGTCCGGACTAGTACAAGCAGCCACACCCACATGTACATGCACGTCGCTATATAAGTGCAATAATCTTGGATACGACGTTAAGCCCAATTTCACCAGACAATCAAGTGATTGACATCATGAGCATCAATCTACACAATTATGATAAGATGACATGCATCTACCAAGTCAGCGAGCCTGACCACCCAATCCTGTTAGTTGCCTCTTACTACAAGTGTAGTCTCCTAGCTCTTACTAGACTAACATCAAGTTTCTGAAATGAGCATATTTTACAGAAAAACAGTTGTTAAATCTTCTTAATAAAATATAATAAACAGGAGCCCAGAGACTCTTCATTTTCAGAAACTGCAGTAATCTAGACTTGCTCACTTTTATAGACTTGCAAGGTCTGTATTGGATATATTTGTTTCTGGCTCAGCATGAGAGACTAGTCTTTCAAAAAGTATGTGTTGCTGAATACCAATTCTAATCTGGATCTTCACTGGTGTCTTTTTTCTCAGATTGGCTCGCCTACTAAGCAGTGATCTAAACCTAACCTTGCCCTGTAGGAGGTACTTGTTTACTTGGTGATGTTTGCAACGTTTGGTGGCTATTGTGCAGTTGACTATGTTGTTCTTGATCTGCCTTCACATCCATCTTCCCCAGGTCTTCTTCCTTCTTCTCCAGCTCTTTTCCCTTCTTCTTGCCTTCTCCCTTCTTCCCCAGGTCTTCTTCCTTCTTCTCCAGCTCCTTTCCCTTCTTCCCGCCTTCTCCCTTCTTCCCCAGGTCTTCTTCCTTCTTCTCCAGCTCCTTTCCCTTCTTCCTGCCTTCTCCCTTCTTCCCCAGGTCTTCTCCAGGGCTTGATGTACTGTTCCCACACCCCATCAGGGATGCTCACTGAGGGACATATAAGAAGACTTAATTTTCAACATATTATGGATTCTGCTGACCTGGAAAAAATGAAAAGTGAAAATTTTATATCAGAAAAAAGCCATTTTTTAATATCTTTTTGGTATATTTATATACTTTTGTTTCCTTTTGCATATACATTTCCAGTTACAACACAATTGAACAAAACAAGCTGTTTTTATCATGTATATGAAATGGACAAAGTGAAACAATTACAAAAATAAATGACAGGCAGAACAGAATTTGTAAAAACAATCAAGTCTTGATCTTGTTGCAGTTTCTTGTTATAAAATCACAGGGCACATGGCAAAATTATCACATTGTACAGATATAATTTTTAAGAATGAAATCGTGAAGAAATAAAAACGTCTGGCCTGAAAATATTTTTTTAAGATTGCAACTTGTCAATCATGTGTGTATGCCACAGTCTGATTAAAAATGATTTAATGATCGGACATGAAGGCAATACATAGACAGTCCCAACATTGCAAAACAAAAGGTATTCTACATAAACAAAGCGGAATATATAATCATGGCAAATGTGGGAATCAAAACACATGATCACTGGTTCCTAGCACAACTAGGGTGTGTAACTCTGCACAACAAACTGTGGCACCTTGCTCAAGTGTGCCACACATTTGATTTTTTTGCACTTTTTCAAACTTTTCAAAAGATTTATTTAAAGTACAACTCCTATTTGTCAAATCCATAGTACTAGTTTCTAGTAGGTCAGACTGAGAGAGGATTTTGCTGTTTTGGATAATGGATAATCATGTGTAGTTTTTTTTTTAAAAACATTTGCGTTTGCGCCTGTGGCATTTCATCACAAGGAAAGAAACATGTGAATACACAACTGATAGTCCTGGTAATATTTTGCGAACTTTCCGAACTCACATTGAAGGTATTGGCTGAACGTATATTTTCATTGTATCGCAAACAAGTTTTGTCTAGTGCTATATCAACTGATCAGCTGCTTGGTTCGCTTATCAACCGAAATGTATCTACCAAAAGGAAGATATGCCCGCAAAGGCAGTGCTAGGTTAACTACATTCTTGCGTTTTAACGAAACAGCTTATTAAAATGCCTAAAATCACGAATGTCAATAAGAAAACACCGAACTCAACAGATCAATTGCCTTTAAATGTCTTTGTTTACGTTTGACTAGCAACAAGAGACGCCATTTTGGTTCATGTATAATTTGAGAGTTACCCCCCTTGTCTTGTTGACAACCAAGCTCCTTCCCAGCGCGTAACACCTTCGTTACACTCTCGGTAATAGAGAGCTCCGCGAACGGGCTATCATTCTTGCCGGGTTGGAAACCGATTATTTTAAATTTGTTTGTTTGTTGTTGTTTGTGTATTTTGTTGTTGTTTTTGTTGTTTTGTTTTGCTTTGTTGTGTGTGTGTGTGTGTGTGTGTGTGTGTGTGTGTGTGTGTGTGTGTGTGTGTGTGTGCCGATGTCAATGAGTGGGTTAAATTGTAAGCCACATCGGCAATATTTCAGCCATATTGTGACTATCAAAGGTTAAACATCATAAATACTTAGAATGATACATATAAAAAATTTCCAGCACAGGACATTAAAATAACTAGACTTATCACAGAAAATTACTTAAAACTGGTATGGAAGCATTAAATGGATGTTACGATACATAACAATACATTATAAAAACAGGCTATATTGGTCTCCAAAAACTGAAGGTAGATCACCACACTGGGGACCATGGGGGCTTACGGTACTTTAGGTTCCTGCATGGACCCCAGCCGGATTTACATCATCCCTTCAGTTGTTGGCGATTATGAACACATTTATTAAAATGTTATAAAAAACCATAATAGGCCTTATTAAAACAACATATATTCTACGATTAAAGGGTTTTCAAAGAATAAATCTAATTTGAATGACGTGGCCTCACATACCCTCTCCAGGGGACAATCTTTTTACACTACTTCAACCCCCTCCGAGGATACAGCCACTAACAATCTTAGTTATCACATTTATGCTGCCAATTATAACCCAAAAAAAACAAAAAAAACTATATTATATACTCAATACATTAATCAAAATTTATGGAACAATTCAATTTCTTTTAAAAAAAACAATTAGTGAGTGAGTTGGGTTTAGCGCCGCTTTTAACAGTATTCCAGTCATATCACGGCGTGTCAGCTTAATGTGGGAGGAAAGCCCGAAGTGATGCAGTTCTCAGACGTTTACCACTTCGGTGAAACCCACGAGCACGGGTATGGTGCTGACAAACCTAGAAACATAATGGGGCGAACCGGGATTCGAACCCACAATTATAGGTTTCTGGCGTGCCCAAGGGACGCAACTCTGCACAGCGAATGGCGGCGCCTTAGACGACTGGGCCTCCCGTGACCCCACCCCCCAGATTTGTTGGGTGCTGCTTTTTCAGCAGCATCGGCCATTGTGTTACCAGTGATTCCAACATGGCTGGCTAACCAACAAAAGACGATGTCGTATTGGCCAGTGGCAAGATCATTATATAATTCAATAATTTTGAGTAAATGTGGATGTTTTAGAGTCGGAAAATATAATGAACTGGTTATATTTTGATTGTTTATTTATATATTCCAATGCTGGGAAGATTGCCTTTGACTCGGCCCTAGTACTGGAACAGTTATCTTGATGATGTTGTTTTTGATCCAATGACGTTGGCGCTGGCAACTGCGTCACCATCCTTGGATCCATCTGTAAATATAGATTTATAAGTATCATAAGTGTGTCTTGATTGATTATATTCTTGTTGATAAATAAGTTGATTTGTTTCAGATTTTTTAAGTTTAGTTAATGACAGGTCAACCTCTGTCTGTACCAATTGCCATGGGGGAGAAGACAAACAATGAGTTGGAGCTATATTTTGAAGATTGATATAGGCAGCAGAAATGGCAGGTTTGATTCTTATTCCATGGCGGAATAAGGCATGACTTTTCATGATACATGTCCTCATAGAGAGGATTAAAAACGCAATCATATGCAGGATTAGTTTTGAGTTTTGGAAGAAATTATCCGACGTTTTAGTGATGGATCATCAGCCTCCGCACACAGGCAATGAGTGAGTGAGTGAGTTTGGTTTAACGCTGCTTTTAACAGTATTCCAGTTATATCACGGCGTGTCAGCTTAATGTGGGAGGAAAGCCCGAAGTGATGCAGGTCTCAGACGTTTACCACTTCGGTGAAACCCACGAGCACGGGTATGGTGCTGACAAACCTAGAAACATAATCGGGGCGAACCGGGATTCGAACCCACAATCATAGATTTCTGGTGTGCCCAAGGGACGCAACTCTGCACAGCGAATCACGGCGTCTTAGACGACTGGGCCTCCCGTGCCCCCTCCCAGGCAATGATGATGGATACTGTCTAATACTTTAAGATTACTTTTACAGGCTCCACCATAGATGATGGAGCCACTGTCCAGTTTAGAGCGGATAAGTGCCCTGTATAGTTGAAGGAGGGTTTTGTGATCCCCGCCCCAGTTTGCCTTAGTAAAATTCCATCTTGATGATGGAGGGATATCAAATGGTGTAAGAGATTGTAAAATGGTAGGGGAAATGGTCACTTCCACAGAGGTCATCATGGACTGACCATTAGAGCCTGAAGATCAGACTGTCGGAGAGAGTACGATGGTAAACACAAAATCAAAACAACCTTTAATGTTACACGTACTGCAACAGCCTGAAGAGGGGTATCGAGAGGAGCAGGGGTGCGGAGGATGCCCTGCCTCACCAAAACAGAAGATCCTCCAGTTGCTTTATCCCCTGGAGGGGAAAAGCAATGGTAAGAATTGTACTGTCTTAAATCAAAATTATCTTGGTTTTGAGGAAGGTAACTTGAAGATAAAATGCAGATGGCTTGAAATCTTGAATTAATAGCTGAAGATCATTAAAATTGTTCCGAAGTTCTCTACAATTCCATTGTATTAAATTGGCTGAGCAACTCATGGAGGCTCAATTGGAGATCGCGAGCGGGAGGAAGGTCCTCAACGCTGTAACCATCATGAGGTTCAAAGATGTTATGAACCTCCAGAGGAACATTCAATGACAAAGGCTCCTCAACATGTTTTAAGGGCCCTTGCTTCCTTTCGTCATAGTTCGTAAGATGTTTATTAGTTTTCATTTCAGGTACACAGTCAGGTACACAGTCTGGTTGAATGGCAGGTTCTGGCAAAGGTGCAGGTTCTGCCAAAGGTACAGCTTCTGACAGAGGTTCAGTTTGTGAAGCTCATAATAGGAGAAGTGCAGATGTCAGCATCTATTTGAATTTTCTGATCAGTTGATCAGTTCTGATCTGTTTGACAGCTATTACCAGCCTTGATAGGAGAAGAGGAGATTGCAGAAATATGTTTTATTTAATTTATGAAAGTTATCCACGCCAGAGAATAATCTTCATGCAAAATGTAATACATGTAAATGGATCGACACTTGACTGATCTCTGAATTCAGAAAACAGTACGTGTTATAACATGTAGCTGTTACAGCCGCAGTCGTTATGTGTCACGTGACTATGTAATGCGTTTGTAACACAAAATCAGTACCATAGTCCATACGGCCTGATATACCTAATACACTCCTGATACTTCTGATACATTTCTGAGTTGCGTCCCTTGGGCACACCAGAAACCTATGGTTGTAGGTTCGAATCCCGGTTCGCCTCGATTTCTAGGTTTGTCAGCACCATACGCCTGCTCGTGGAAAACATATGGTCTGCCCAAACGACAGAATGCATCGAACATTTGTCCTGGAAAGACGGACTGTCTAACTGACAGGATGCCCCAACTCCTGTTTAATGGAAAGATGGTCTGCCCAAACGACAGAATGCATCGAACATTTGTTGCGTGTGTAACGGCGCGCGACGTTGTTCTTCCTGTCTACGGATGGTTTCTGTTGATCAGGTTCGATTACGATTAACAGTACAAGATTTAATTTATGAACATCTCACATCTTTTACAATTAAAAAAATGACGATTTGACAATAGTTTTTTAGCTGGTTTACGGTAAACCGTACAACCCATTCAGGATGTCCAAAAACAGAAAGAGGGGCGGTGGGGTAGCCTAATGGTTAAAGCGTTCGCTCGTGACGCCGAAGACCCGGGTTCGATTCCCCACATGGGTACAATGTGTGACGCCCATTTCTGATGCCCCCCGACGTGATATTGTTGGAATATTGCTTAAAGCGGCGTAAAACCATACTCACTCACTCACTAAAACAGAAAGAAAAACACTAATAAGTACATTTGATTAAGCCGCTGTCGAATAGATGAAATATTGCTGAGTGCCGCAAACAAATAAACAAACAAAATGAAACGTTTGATTTAAAGTATAAAATAACACGTAACTTGGTATGAAACGTTTGACCCGACGTTTGACTGACGCTAAACATGCATGGATGGGTTGTCACTCTTGATGAGATGTGTCATATCAGGTTGTATTTAGGCTAAGAAATACCGGACCGCCTCCGTGGTCTAGTGGTGGAGCGTCCGCCCGGAGAGCGGAAGGTCTGGGGTTCGATCTCGGCCGCGTCATACCAAAAGACGTTAATAGATGGTACTTGTTGTTACCCTGTCTGGCGCTCGGCATAAAGGGGCTAAAACAAGGACTGGTCGGCTCGGAGTCAGTACACTGTGTCTGAGTGGGGTATTCATGTTAAACTGCGGCATGGTATCTCACTATAAATCGGCATCAGTCCGAACTAGTACAAGCAGCCACACACGCGTGCATGCGTGCACGTCGCTATATAAGTGCAATAATCTTGGACGGGACGTTAAACCCCATTTCACCTCACCTAAGAAATACTGTGTTCTCTTATTCTTCAAACACATCTGCCCAGTAAGGGTACTTTTCAAACACACTAAATCTTCTTGAGATGGCAATCAATTCATTTGGTACGTCTTTTTGGGGTTCTGTCAGAATTTTTATATATATATACTCATCAGCGTAAGTTACTTTGTTCGCCTTCACTATTTAATATTCATTGTGATATAAAAGATAGCTTCGCGAAAAATCGCAAAGAATAATGAAGAATGAAGCGTGGTTATTTCACGATAAAACATTGTTCTATCATGACGTCATGTCTTGAGATTTGAACATGCGCTCGCAACTTGATGACGTCGTAAATTGGACGATGTTATTTCTGAGAGAGTAGTCTCTAGAGTGAGTTGTTCCCAAAAGATGAAG